AACAGGACAGTAGAGTGAGTCAGGCTGAGGGACTCTGGGCAAACCTGGCCCTCAGCGCCTGCACATGGGGGACAGCTGCAGGGGCTTGGTGAGGTGAGGGGCACCAGGGGCTACCTGTGGACTGGGTGGTTATGTTGACCCCAGCCTGCTGTGGGATGTTCCACCCATAAGAGACACTTGCCAGCCAGGAGTGCCCTTGTAGAGAGACATCAGCTTGAGAAACACAGATGGTGGCACTGTCCTCTCAACATGTCCCATTTAACTGTTCTGTGTTGAGTACCTACTGCATGCAGAGTCCTTGGACAGAAAATTCCTCCCAGATTAGCTGAGGGCCCCCTGGAAGGGCCTCTGTGAGATGTCCAGTGTTCCCCTAGTCACTCTCAGTAGTCTGCCCCACCAATATAATCTGCCTGGTGGTGGTCTTGTGTACAGCTCTGTGGCCAGCACTAGAACAGTGACGGCAAACCTTTAAGAGACGGAGTGCCCAAATTGCAACCCAAAACCCACTTATTTATGAGAAAGTGCCCACACTCCAATTAAACCTGATGCTCTGCTGCTGGGGTGACCTGGTTCATGTGCCAACAGAGGGGGCTCTGTGTGCCCAGTGAGGCATGGGTGCCATAGGTTCACTGACAGATAATAATGCCTGGCATACAGCTGGCACTCAGTGAGGATTTGGGGAGTGAATGAATGAATAGGGATTTGAGCTGAAAGATACTAGCCAAGAAGCCTTTGGCTGCCTGACTGCCCTGGCTGCCCCCCTCAACCAGCAGACATTGACCTCATGGCAGCTGCCCCATCCTTCCACCAGCCTCAGTTTCCCTGTGATAACCTGGGCAGTCCTCCCACTGTTGGTCTCTGACCCCTCTGGAGGAACACAGGGTAAGCCTAATGAGCTGAAGGATGCTGACAAAGTCGGCATGTAGGAGGTCAGGCCCCATGTTTCTAGAACATTCCATGCTCTCTGACAACCTGCAGTCCTCAGGGTCCTGGGCCAAAAGGTTTCTCAGCCTCTGCATCAGGAGAGTAGGGTGGGATAGGTGCCCACAGAGTGACTGCCATAGTAGGAGGGCTTCCTTAGGGAGCAGGTGGCTTCTGGCAAGGTAGGACCCAAGTCCTGCCCCAGCCCAAAGCTTCAGGCCCTGAAGGCCTGAGGCCAGCTACTCACTCCTCACCATCAGACATCCCTATTCTGTTGGCTGATGGGGCAGGGGACACTCCTTGTTAGCCCCGAGTGGCCACAGGCTAGGCCAGGTCCTGCTGCCCACCAATGAGCAGGCCTCACTTGTATTTCCTGTTCCGCAGCCACTGGCCTTCACTTCCCACCCTCAGCATCCGCCTCACCACCCATGCCCTGCCCAGTCTTCACCTCACCTGTGCACCTGGCCACCCGCCTTCCTCTTCGCCCCCACCTCTTAGCCCTGCTGGCTGCCCCCAAGCCCCAGCTCCTTGGAGCTTGTAAGGAGCTCACAACAGCCCCCAAACTGTCTCCCACTTGCCTCAGTGGCCCTAGAGCAAGCTGCTACACAGCTCAGGACTTGCTCTCCAGTAGCCTCCACCTGTCCTCCCTCCTGCTCCGGTACAGCCTGGGGCCCTCTAAGAGCCTGCCTGGGGCTTGGGCTGCTATTAGCATAATTTTTTTATTATGGAAACATACACAAAACCAAAGAGCACAATATAATGAATGCATTCACCATTGGGCTTCAACAATCCCCAATTCACAGGTAGTTTTGTTTAATCACTGCTTGCCTCCCTACCCTCTCCCTGCCAATTATTCTGAAGCAATTCCCTCTTGTCACATAGTTCTGTCTACAAATTGTTCATGGGGACCTCTGGCAGGCACAGCATTTTTATCCTGACATTCACACAAGGAAAGGGACTCTGCCCCCTTGCACTAACCACTGATCAAGGTGAGAAGGATTTTTCAGTCTCTTATGAATGAAGGGTTTTCAAAAGATATTTGGCATGTTTAATTCTAATTTTTTTTATGCTCAAATCATTCTGCTGTTGATCAGATCCTTCTAAAACTTTTCAGTGGACAGCTAGGAAATAATTTTAATATAAAATAGCTGACAAGTTTATGTTAATATTTCCTATTCAAATTTAAGGATTGGCTTCTATTTCTTTGATTTTTGTATCTGGATTTTTTTCTCTTATATGATTATCTTGGTTCTTAAGAAACTTAACATAATAATAGTACAATCAACCCTCAGTATCTGCAGGTTCTGCAGTCACAAATTCAACCAATCCCAGATGGAAAATATTTAAAAAACAAATTGTATCTGTACTGACTGAACAAGTACAGACCTTTTCTTGTCATATGCCTAAGCAATACAGTATAAGAACTATTTGCATAGAATTTACATTGTATTAGGTATTATAAGTAATCTAGAGATACAGGAGGATATACTGTAGGTTCTGTGCAAATATTATACCATATCATATAAGGGACTTGGACATTTTGAGGAGTTTGTATCAATGGGGCATCTTGGAATCCATTCTCTGTGTATTCCAAGGGACAAATGTACCAATATTGCTGTGAGTATGATTCTTTGGGTTCCTTTTGTAATTTGAATATCAGTGATATGATTAATCATGTGCTCCACTATGTGGCTGCATCACAGCCCAGTTTAATCAGTTGAAGGACATTATGGTTGCTTTTGGTCTTCTGCTAATTCAAGTAGCGTTGCAATGCACAATATTATTTTCTATTTTTCTTGCTTATCTTTGGATTAGTTCCTAGCAGAGGGATTTCCAGGTCAAAGAGTACATGTATTTTTGCTTGCTAATATTGCCAGAATTCTCTTCCCACGGATGACAAGGAGAGCACCTGCTGCCTTGGCCTCTCCTGCAGACTGTGCCCTGAAACATCTGAAGTTTTGCCAATCAGATAGGCAAGCTTAGTATCAGGATGTACTTATAATTTCCATTTTTCTTGTGAATGAGGTTGAGGATATTTTTCATAAGTGCAAAGGCCACAAACTTCTCTTCCTGTTCACTTTTCACATCTTTTTCCCACTTTCTCAAAAGGCCGTCATTTTCTTCTCAGTTTTAGATGTTCTTTGTATATCAACCATACTAATCCTATGCCTGCAATAGAAATTGCAAATATTTTCCCAGATTGCCTCTTATCTTTGCCAGTGATGGTTTTCTTTTCTTTTTTGTTCTTTTATCTATTGATTCTGGATTTCAAAAAATATTTGTAAATCTTTTCCCTACTCACAGGTTCTCAAGGAATTCACCTATTTTTTTTTTTCTTTTTGAGATAGGATCTTACTACATACTTCAGTCTCACCTTGGACTATGTAGCCCAGGTTGTCCTTTTAACTCACAGCAAACCCCCTGCCTCATTCCTTTTCATAGAATCTACATGGTTTTATTTTAACCTTTTCACTGAAGCCTCAGATCCACCTGGAAAGTTACTCTAGTGCATGGTGTCAAAAATGGGCCTGGTCTAGCCTTCCTCTTGCTCTTTGTATGGCTGTCCAGTTGTCTTAACACTGCTTACTGAATGCTCATCATCTTCCTGCTGACCTGGAGGTGCAGCCACTGGTCACTCCTGCAAGGAATGCCTCAGAAAGTATTTACTGAATGCTTGTTATGTGTCCTGCAGGGGCAATGTGTCCCTTCTCTGGCTTGGGTGTGTTGCATTTAAGTGATGTGGCCCCAGCAATATTCCTAGCCTGGTCCTGAATCTCCCTAGACCATTGGTGGTGAACCTATGACATGCATGCTGCAATGAGCTGTTTGTATAACTGAAAACTCTGAAAGGTTCACCACCCTGCCCCCCCCCCCCAAGCTGGGACTGCTTTTCTCTGCAAGTACATTCTGTGCACTGCTGTGGGCAGCACCAACTAACTACACATGGGAGCCCAGGGTCCAGGATTAGGATCAGGAGCTGGGCTCTGCTTCCCATCCCAGACTTTCTGGTGTGGATACCTTACAGGGGCCAGCAGTGTGCTCAGGAAAGACCTGCAAGCAGCTCATGAGTAACGAGCCCCACCGGGCCCCCATTGAGAGTCATAGCTGAGCTATGACCCCTCCCAGCCAGAGTAGGAGTGGATGAATGTCATGTAGGTGAGTCTTTTCTGTTTGCTGCCCCCTCCCCCCAAAACCAGTGTAGCTTGGGACAGTATAAGGAAGCAGCCCAGACCTTGAGGCCCTCATCACTCACTCCTACACCCATCTCCCACCTAGGGAAATCTCAGAGTACAGGTCAGCCCAGGTCCAAGAGCAGGGAGGATGAAGTATTCATTCTCTTGTTCTTGGGTGGGTGCAAACAATTCTCCCTTTACCTACCCAGTGGCTCTGTCTACTATGCTTAGCAACCCCGCAGGGTCCTACTGGGCTGTGCAGGACCATCCCTGGACAATCCTTTCTCCCCTCCCCAGTCCCATGGCCCTAGTGGGAAGCGACTCAAACACATTCCCCACAAGCAGCATCCACATCTGGGCACCCAGGGGGCGCTGAGAGTGTTCAATCTTCCACATAGCCTCATCCTGAGGCCAGGATGTTCTGCATGTGCTGCAGGGCGCCCCTCCTCTCTTATGTCTTTTATTCTGCCCTCAGAGGGGCTTGCATCGTGAAAAAGTTGATGGCCACGTCCTATACCACTCGGACCATACAGTTAATGGTGGTGGCACCTGTCAGACCAGAGCTTTCCTGTCCAACTTGGCTGGGGACTCCAGGAGTTGGGCAAAACAGGTAGGTGTAAGGAGTGGAGGCAAGCACGTGCACGTGATCAGAGCAGAGCAGGTGGGCTTGGAAGGAAGAGGAGGAACAGGTGGGCGCCAGTCCTGCAGGGCCAAGCAGGTGTGTGTGGGGGAGCGGCCAAGCAAGAGACTCGAGTTGGGAGAGCAGGTGGGCGCAGGCCGTGGCGCCCAGGGAGCGCTGGGCGGTCGGGGGCGGGGCGCGTGATCAGGGCGGGGCCTGCTGTCCCTTAGGGACCGGCTAGCGGCCCCCGCCCCCTCCGTCCCCGCCCCCGTCCCCACCCTCGGGGCTGGCGGCCGCTGCAGCCCTCACTGTGCACCGGCGCCTGCCTTCGCCGCAGCTTGCGGTGCCGCCACCCCGGTCGGCCTTTTCCACGCTATGGCCGCGGCCTCCTCCCCGCCCAGGACTGAGAGGAAGCTCGGGGGCTGGGGCCGCCTGCTGGGCTCCCGGCGGGGCAGCGCCGGCTTGGCCAAGAAGTGCCCCTTCTCTCTAGAGTTGGCTGAGGGTGGCCCAGCGGGCGGCACTCTCTACGCGCCCGTCGCGCCTCCCGGCGCCCTGAGCCCCGGGTCTCCCGCGCCCCCAGTGTCCCCTGCCGCGCCCCCTGCCGGCCTGGATCTCGGCCCGCGGCCGCCGGTGAGCCTCGATCCACGCGTCTCTATCTACAGCGCGCGCCGTCCGCTGCTCGCGCGCACCCACATCCAGGGCCGCGTCTACAACTTCCTCGAGCGCCCCACAGGCTGGAAGTGCTTCGTCTACCACTTTGCCGTGTGAGTATCGCCGCGGGGCTGGGGCGGGAGCCTTGTGCCTGGGCCACACGGGCCACCCGCTGCAGCGGAGACCTGGGCAACCAGGAGGCGAGGAGGGGTTCATGGGGGCATCAGCAACTAGACTGGACGCCTCTCGCTTGGAGTTCAGGGACGTTTCTGTGGCTGGGGTGGGAAGCTGACCACAGGTCCTGCCCAGGCATGCGGAGGGGGAGACAGCCGGGGAGGAGCTGCCCCAGCCCAGAAGTTGGCTCCACTCCCCCCCGCCCCCCCGGAGGGCTGTCTGGGTGTTAATACTTCTGGGAAAAGAAGAGAGCTGGGGGAGCTTGCCCTTGGGTGCAGTGGCAGGAGTCCCAGGAGTGAGAAGTCACCTGGGCAGGTCTAGTCTGGGGGACTCTTCAGGATAGGGATCTATCCAGGGCAAAGTGGCAGGTGTGCTCGTGTTCCCTGGCCTGTGTTAACCTGAGCTAATGAAAACCTGGGCCCTGCGGAGAATGAGGGTAACTTCAGGCGTCAGTCAAAGGCAGGTGTTTTCCAGGACCAAGCACAGTGCAGCATCCGGCCTGCGCTGCCGCCAGGTGGTTCCCATTCCCAAAGCCGTGCCTGAGCGAGCAGGGTACTTGATTCCTCAAGGACGGGGCACAGGAAGTAGCCTCCAGGAAGGGTCAGGCTGCCCTCCTTGCTGCCTTTCCCGCCACCCTGTGGCCCTGCTTCCTGGCTGCCCAGCCATGCCTGCTTGATATTGTGCCAACCTCTCGCCTGTGAGTCTGCTCAGGAATTCCCATGCTGTGGGGCTGCGTGGGGTGGCTTCCTGTGGCTTCCCACTGCTTGGGTGTATCCATCTCTGCCAACAGGGCTGGCAGGGCATCTAAAGTCCTGTTTATTTCTACTTGTCACTGACACCAGGGTCCCAAGGAGAACAGCAGGAGTCAGGCTCAGGCAGGTAGGCCCACCATGCAGAGAGATGCTGGGCTTCCATGGCAGAAAGGGCAAGTCTCAGGGCATGCTGTCCCCAGAGACAGGCTGGCTGTGGTCTTGAGGTCTCTTTCCTACCCCCTGACCCACCCCTGAAATATCAGAGGGTGTGTGAGCTGTGGTGGCTTGATGGGAGAGGAAGGCTGTGCCTCTGGGTGCAGCAGTAGTGGCTTGTCGTGAGTTTGCAGAATATTCATGTGCAGTGACCCCCAAGGGACCCCACCAGAGTCTGGTCCTGCTGTGTAAACAACCAGCAAATCCCAGGCTTATGGGTGCCGCTGTGCCTGAGGGCCAACTGCTTTCCAGCAGTCACCTGCTGGACCCCAAACTGTACTAGATGCTGGAGAAGACCCTGCCCTGTTACCTCTGTCCAGGAGCCCCACTTGCCAAGGTGAGGTGCCTCCAGACATCTGCTCAGTGGCATTCTGGGGACACAGGCTGGAGGGTGAGCATCCTCTGAGCTCCAGCTGCTGCCTGGGTGGAGGAAGAGGCTTGCTTCACCCCAGAGGAAGTGTCTGCTTACATTGAGCTTTCTTCTGGGTTTGGATTGTTCAGCCCTCAGAAGTTTGCTCAGCAGAATTCCCTGTGTCCAGCTTCCCTGAGAGCCGGCAGGGCTAGGCAGCTTCTGGGGATGGTGGCTGAATGGTTCTCTGATGTGGAAGTATGTGAGGAAGGGATGCTTCTGGGAGGTAGCTGTGGGGGCTCCAGCTCAGGGGCCCTGATCCTGTGGGAGGTGTGGCTGGCCCTAGGGAGTGGTCATGAACCCCCCAGCCCATGTGGGGTGTGGCTGCAGGTGGACCTTGGCTGGGCAGAGCATGTGACCTGAGGCCTAGGAAGCGGCCTTCTCACCCTAATCCCTCCAGGAGGTGGCATAGGCCCTTGGAATGGGCCACTCAAGCCTGACCTGGAGTTAGAAGTGCAGAGGGGCTGGAGCCTGGCAGCAGCCTCATGAAATGGGGCTGAAGAAGTGACAGATGAGGGCTGGCGATTTAGCTCAGTGGTTCTGCCTCCTGCCTCGAAAACGCAGGGTCCCGAGTTTGATCCCCGGTACCAAAAAAACCCAAAAAACAAAACCCTACAAGTGACAGATGAGATAGTGGCAGAGAGTAAGCTCTGTTCTTGGTAAGATGGATTGTGAACCGGGAGGAAATATGTTTTCCTAGCCCTGATGTGCTGGAGCTTGAGGTGGGAGCCAGTGTCCTACAGGCTGAGGACATGCCTTCCCATATGCAACTGGGGAAGCAGGCCAGGACATCCTGTCCCCTTCTCAGGGAACCCCTGCTCTGACCTAAAGAGAGTGGCCTTCCTGTGTCGCTCTGGCCTTCCATGCCAGCCAGGGTCAGAGGGCAGGATGCAGTGCCTGGGCACTGACCTTGCCTGCTTGGGCTTCCTGACCCCCTCACCCCCTCCATGGATCTCCTTGTGTTCCCATTCTAGCTGAGGGCACAGGGGATCTGGGCAGCACATACTGAACCCCAGACTCCTAGCCACCTTCCTGATGGGTCACACACAGCTGTCCAGCCAGCATCTACTCTGAATGTCAAGATGCTTGGAGATCCTAGCTATGACTGAGAAGAGGGATTTTAGGGAGGGGCCCCAAGTGAGTGGAGACTGCCTCCCTCCCCAGCTCTTGAACCCAAACCTGGCTGACTCAGCACTTCTGTCCTCACCTCCCACAGCCCTGGCTTTCTCAGGCTCTTGAGAACTTTGCAGTGGCTTTTGTCAGCACCTTGCAGCGTGTTAATCATTGATGGAGCTTGGGTCCAGGGCTGGTGGGTGCCTCAGCTGGTTGGGCCGCCTTTCTGAAAGCAGAGGCCGCATCTCCCTGACTGTGGCTATCAGTACCCATCCCCTCCCAGGCACTGGCATTTGTGTTCTGAGTGGCCACCTGACAGTTATCATGCAGAACTGAGAACGGAGCTAGACAGGAGGTTGGAGAGTACAGGACTGGGTCTGCAGGATGGGGGTGATCTGGTGGTGAGGTCCCTCTCCCTCTGTCTTCTTCAAAACCTGGATTCCATGCAAAACTGAGGTTTCCTTTTGGATCTTCTCCCCAGGCCAACTCCTCTGGGGTCTTGTCCCTTGGGCTCATCCTCTGGCTGTCCTGAGATCCCTCTGCTCACTTCAGACACAGCCCCATGTTTTTGGAGACACTGCTGCCATAGGTTGAGGACCTCACCATGGCCTGATGTTGATTGGGTGGCCACAGACATTTTTTATGCCAAGACCAACATTTGGTCCAGGTGGTAGCAAAACTCAAGAGGGCCTCTCCAGCCTGTACAGAGGCCTGCAGTTGGGGACAATGGGGACCTGCTGCCTCAGGTCAGGCTCAGTGGTAGTATTGGGAGCAGCAGAAGCCAGGCAGGAGTGCTGCCTACCTGTGGTGCTAGAGTAAAAGTGGGGCCAGGTCTTCCCCGGCAGCTGATCTCCCTGCTTCTACAGGGGCTCAGTCCAGAATCCTCCCTTGCAAAGCTGGATTTTCTCTTCCATGCTCCGCATCCTGCCAGTGTGATCAGCACTCCTCAAACAGTGCACAATTTTCCCAGGGAGGACTGGCCAGCAGGTGACAGCTCTCGAGTCTGCCTCCCACTGCTCCTGGGGGCTGGGATTGCTAGTCTGAGACCCTCTGCACAACCCTGGTGGAGATGAGCAGTTCTGGTCTCATGTGCACCTGCTCAGCCTGCTTCTGATATGGCTTTGGGCAGGGCCTCCCTGCCTCCCTCTGCCACCCATCCCCCTCATCTGGGAAATGGATCCAGATTGGCCCCACAACCCTTTCCAGCCTTGCCATTTTGAGCCAGCTGTTGGCTCCTGGGTGACTTCCTACGATTCAAACCCCCTTCTGCCATGAGAGTGCTAGTCTGGGAGAACACCTTGCTGCAGGGTGCTGAAAGTTGGGGACCAGATCTCCAAAAGGTGTGGCAGGCCCAGGGGGCAGGAAAGGTGTGTAGCCAAGATAGGTTGTAGGTGGTCAGTCCTGGGCTGAGGCTGCAGAGGTACTTCCGGAAGCTTGCACGTGCGGGTGCCTTGTTTCTGCTTCTGATGGGGAGAATGAGACGTGAGTGCTACCTCCGCTGCCACTTCTACTCAGGCCCTGTGGACTTGGCTGCAGAAGGGAAGGCTCCATGGCACCAGGGGCAGGCATGGGGGATTCTGTGGCCATGCTGGGCTTGGCGCCAAACAGAATGGGCATAGTGCCACCCCCCCACCTCAGTGCTCAGCATTTGGCACATGGGTGGAGCCAGCTGTGTCCTTCACCTCATCCTCCTGGCCATGCCGATCAGGAGACATCCCAGTTTCTGAGGGCAAGGTGAACATGGTTGCCAGGGCCAGTGGGGAGGAGACCGTGGCCATCCTGGTGTCAGTTGCTGATCACAGTGACACAAAAGGACCCAAGTTTACATGTGCTTCTGAGCATGTGAGAAAACCTGGCCTCCGTGGATAGTTTGTCTTCCATCACCAGGCCCACCTCCCTTCTCTGGTCCCTGTATGGGTACTGGCTGGCACAGGGGCCACTGGGCCTACACAAGGCTTTGGTGAGGGCTGGAGGGGGTACAATAGGGCCAGAGTCTGGAACATGGTTCACTGCTTCGCCAAGGGGGACCATATACACTGTGCTGTCAGGAACCCTGGGGCTCAGAGGAGGTAGGTTACCTGCCTAAGGCCACATAGCTATGTACACCTAGGCTGCCTAGCTCCTTCCCCACATTCCATTCCAAAAGCCTGGGCCTCCAGGCCTCCTCCATATCCTACTGTCCTTCCTTGATGGGGGTCATAATGTTGACCTTGTGGTGGCATTGGCCATGTGAGGTACAGAGGTTGTTGTTTGTCCTAGAAGGAGAGACAAAAAAGCTCCCTGGCAGGTAATAGCTACCTCCTTAGGATGGTGCATGGAGCTCAGCCCAGGCACTCCAGTACAATCATGGCTGGTGAAGCTGGTCCTCAGTGCCTACCTGGGAGTGGGGGACCAACCCTCAGGACCCTTTGATCTGGTTGCTTCCTCTTCCTGAAGCCCAGCTGCCCAGAGC